CAGCCTAAAAGAGCTCGTAAGCTCAGAACAGCTAGGCTTTTCAGCCTGTGCTAAAGAGCTCGTAAGCTCGAAAAAACTAGGCTTTTCAATCTGTGCTAAAGAGCTCATAAACTTGGGAAAACTAGGTTTTTCAGCATAAGTATAAGAGCTTGTAAGCTCAGAATCGACCAGGGTCTTCAGCCTAAGAGCTCGTACTAATGTATTACTTTAATTTAGTACTAATGTCTAATGTATAAGTTCTCTTGAATCTTGGTTACAAGATTAATGCCCATTTTGACATAATTAAATCCCTAATTGTTATTACTTTTTTAGAATGTTACTATTTTTTTTTTTTGAGCATGTTATTATTTTTTTAGTGATCATGTTATTGTCTTCGTTGAGTATGTTACTGATGAGGATGAAATCTAAGTCGTGGGCCTTCATGAGTCCACTATAAAATAATCTGAGTATGAGACCCATAGTTGGGCCACATCTCTAGCCTAGAGAGCCAAGCCCAAAGGAGAAAGCCCAACATCAGCAAGGGCTTATTATACACACAATCCCCAATCTGGTCTAGTCGATGCGCAGCCCCAAAATGGAAGCCTGGCCCAAATGCCCTCCCTAAATCACTCTCATTATACCATGTATTCTAGAGGCTCAGGGACCACTCCTAACACCTACGACAGCTACAGAGCACAGAAAGGATGGAATGCATAACCACCAGAGATCATGGGAATAATGCATCAGATGAACAGTGGCGTCGGATGACAGAGAAAGCCACAGGCTGCAGAAGGGAGGACCCACGGTATCAGCACAGAAGGAGGAGAGGCAGCAGTAAACCCTAGGAGAATCATTATATAAATAAAGAACTGTTACCTAATGAAGGAGGGATCATCTTCTTTTTCTCCTTCTTCCTACTCACACTCTCAGGCCAAGAGTCAAGTAGTCAGGATAGAACTCTAAACCCTTGAAAGAACCAAGTATTCTCGTCACTGTTGTATCCCAAAAAGATCAAGCAATATACCATCTCGAGGGGTAAGAGACTCCATTTACAATAGATATAGTCTTAGTCTTTTGACTAAGGTGAACCAGTTATATCTCGTGTTCTTTTAACCACTATTGACTGGCCACTTAATCAACTGAACCTCAAGAAACTTTACAATCTCATCTATTGGGCTTGAGCCACAAATTCCGAGCATCATCAGTTACTATTGTTATTTTTTAAATATTAATATTCAATATTAATAGTTTGTCCATAGAGTCCAAAGTAAACTGAAATAGTAAATTGAAATTGTATTTTATGGAATGTAATGATTTGAAATTTGAATATGAATGATTCTTGGTAAATGCCGATTTCTTATTTTTTCGTGCAAGGAAACATTGTGGTTTGGAAGATTATAGCTAGATTTGAAGAAGATTATAAAGGAGATGTATATGGATGATTATTATGTTTATAAATATTGTTTATAACATTCTTACAAGAAAGGGTTACAATAGTAAAATTGACAAAAAACGGACTTCCAATCAAACAAGTTTCCTTGATAGACTTATTTCTAAATATAGGGGGACCGACCTCCAAATTTTCCTATTTTAATTGTTGAGTTTTTCGTTTTTGGGAGGGAAGACTTTATCACTGATTCATCGTTATAATTAGGGGAATTTTTTTTGTGCTATTGGATAAAGGGAGGAGCGACCAGTAGGTAATAACTCATTGGGCATGACCATGAGGGTCTCTCTTATTGTCGAATGTCCAATTTGAGCCATAATTACTAATTCGGAAGGATAATTCGTCACCACAACAACACTAAACTCAAATAGCAAACCGCATTGCTCATGTGAATAGAATCATGCTTGATAATCACATAGAAATCAATGATAATCCTAAACGGGTAATCAAAAGTCAAAACATGACTTGTACACTGGGGACTACAGCTCGCCATTGCCCCACATTTATCATTGTATGTAGTGTCAACAACTCAAGAACTAATTGAGATGAATAAGTTTAATTGGTCTTCTAATTAGGTGCAACTATGTGCTGAACATGAAGTGAAAATCAAGTACATGTTGATATTTGATTCACTAAATAGCGAGTTATTGAAGATGTTTGTTTTGGTAAAAAAAAAAATCTTGAATTCCTAGCCTCTTGATGGCATTTAGTTTTTATTGTAGGCTTTGACTTTTGTTCGAATATAGTGAATGAATAGAATAAACGAGCTTTTAGTTTGAGAAGACATCTTTTGATCGTTGAACATTCATGCTCATATAGCGAGAAACTCTTCTAATTTTTAAAAATGGGCCACTAAATGAATGATAAAAAACAAGCTAAATTCAATCCCTACAACATACTTAGTGACTCTCATCTTATCTCTTTTCTCTAGAGTAAGGTAAACATGCATATTTTGTCTACAAAAGAAGAAACTGAGTGTCAATATCTGAATTTCATCTCCATTGCTGAAAATAAAACAAGTAGGCATGGCCTCAATGAACAAGTAACAAAAGAGCTAGAGCATGTCTAAACCTAATATTTGATATACCCACTACACATCGGAAGGTAAGATCTTACACTAATGCTTGGAGTGGTACAAACGTAGATGACATCATCACAACCTCTCTTTTTGTACTACTAGAGATGCGCTAATTATGAGTAGGAAGAAGGAACATTTTGTAATAATTTTGGGGGTTATAGATTTCTTATAATATCATCGATCGATAGAGCGGAATGACCAAAAAAAGAAGGGGATTTAAAAAGTCATCCATCAATCAAGGCTAGTGGAGCGAAGAGAGCCAAAAAAACGTGAGCGCCCTAGCGGATTTAAAATTGTAATCTCCCTATTGTTCTATCTCCTATTCATAACTAAAACATGCAACCGATGATAGAGACAGATATATAAAAAATGTGTAGTGAGGGATTTTTTTAGGTAGCTCATCGTTACTTAACTCAACCCAAACTTAAATATGTCCTTACATTATGTCATTATAGCATTGCTCTTATAAATTAACATCCTAATTGTCCATCAAACAATTGGAATGAATGTAACTCTAATGCTACCATGTTGAATTTGTCTTCTTCTCAAAGTTATGATGTGACAAATTTTATTCAACACATATACCATTTGTATATAGTCGTATATTATTGAGTTCGATTTGAATTGAGTTTCTACTGTAAATAAGTCGTGAATAACTTGATTTATATCTATAATTTAAAATAAGACAAACTTCAATAAGTTTATTCGATAGTTTTAAATAAACTCATCCACTGGTCAGTAATATATTTTTCAAAATTATTTATATTATACCGTATTTTTAGATACAACCTACCCCTAATTTTTTTTTTAAAATTATTTATATTACACTGTATTTTTATCCCTAGTTAACTGATGAGTCAATCACATTAGAAGTCAAATACGTTAGGATTAAATTCATAAATAATAAAGATTTTGTGTCCAATGGAAATTTTTTTAAAAAATAAAAACTTTTTGCACCAATTAATGTCTCCTTAGCTAATAGTTGGGCGAAGCCCAAAATTCAAAGATGAAGAGCTCAAATTCTCTTCATACCCCCAATCTTATCCTCACATGGACACGTGACTACTTCGCTACCGTTAACTCAGTCACCCAGGAAAACCGTAAAACCACACAAGACGACACCGGATCGACTAAATTGACAACTACACGACGCCGTCTCACCTTACACTTTGGCATTTACTAGTGTAGACCTCTGTGCAGCTCTGCCAGTAGCGAGGTNTTGTCAATATCGGGTCTGAAACTTTAGCGAGCGTGATAAAAAAAGGGCTTTAACGTGGATGTCCAGGAGGAGAGCTGGAGGAGGAAAAGAATGACATTAATATGTAAATTTGTTTTCTTTGCATGTATGCCTTGTTTTGCTCTGTTGAAACCTTGTAATGATTGTGAAAATGTGTTTCAGTAGCAGCCCTCTATTTCTCTGAACATTCTTCGATCAACTTTGAGTGAATTATCACTGCTCAAACTACACTGTTACAAAGTGCTGAGAGCTTTTGTAACTCCACCCCAACCAGCGAATGTCGTGCATTTTTTGAGCTCATAATCACAGAACTTTGAATCATAATCAAATTTTGGTCATTATATTGGTAAATCCTGTGTTATTTAAGGTGTAAAGCGAATCGAAACGAACCGATCTCCTTAGAGCCTAGGTGAGAAGCAAAGCGAGCGCTTTATCGAAACAAGACGAACAATTTAAAAAATAAGTAAATATTTTAGTTTGATACTTTGATTACTCCTAAATATTCAAGTTTTAACATTACAAATACAAAATATTTAAATGCAACTAAAATAATAAACATCAACATATTTTAGATAGACAAGATATTAAATATTGAACATTATTACATTCTAAAAATAATCAATTGATTTAATCACGTCATCTAAATGTAAAGCTAGTAAATGTGGGTTCAACTTTCACCATGATTGATTAATATCACTACTAAACAGTGCACTTACAAATTGATTAATCAAATAGAGTATATAGCAAATTAATTAATCAATTTTATTAACCAAGTAAATTGATTAATAAGAGCATTCACATAAAAATAGAGCATTCAATATCATCTAATCATAATAAGACAAATTGTTATATGATATTGTTAGATGAATCAATCAATTTATTTTATATATACACACATATAACATCATCTCTACCAGGGTTTGGTTAATGTTAAGGAGGAAGAAGAAGGAGGGGGGAGGGGAGGAGGAGAAGAAAATAAAAAAACTGCAATCAGGCGTTCGCTTTTATCATTTGGCTTGTTTCTTCGTTTCGTTGCCTAAGCTCATTTTTTCCTCGCTTTACTTAACTTTGCTTCGCCTGGGATGTTCAAGGCGACCAAGGCTCGCTTCGCTTCTTCCCTAGGCTCGCTTTTCACAACACTCGGTGAACCTAAACTTGAAGCCTTTAAGTTTCACTCTCCCTTCCCTGCTCCTTTTTTATTTCTTTTTGTCATTGTTTTTCGACTACCAAGAGGAAATAGGGGTGGAAAGCCCAAAAAAATGAAGGTAACTTGCAAGTTCAGAATAATAGTGAAGATATGAACTTGTATCTCTTCGTACTTCCCTTACTTCAACTGTTATATAAGCAGCATTCCATGATATCTGCACCATCAGCGCCAGGTATAAGTCAAACTATGAATAGTAGGAAACTATTGAGTTTTAAACAAGGACTCCAGGACAAAAAGTCAAGACTTTGATCTGAAACTCTTTAACACTAAATCAATCCTTAAGCATTAATCATACCTTTTTAACCACAACCCCTAGGAAGAAGGCCCCATTAGTTGATGTAGTCATAGAGGGGAGCCTTAATAGCTGTGGTTAATGATTTGTCCTGCATCAGAAATTGTCCTTCCTCCATCCCACCCTCCCCCCACCATGCACACAAGTGGGGCCTTCGTTCTTTGTCCGAATTTGTTGTTTTGGAAATAACTAGCAGACACCTATTGAAATGACCTTGAAATCTCTTGTTTGCTATAAATGTTAATTGTTCTTTCAGGACTTGATGCTTTCCAAGCAGAGAAAGTGATGGAAACATTGCGACAACTTGCACAGGATGGACATACCGTAATTTGTTCAATACACCAGCCTAGAGGCTCAGTGTATGCAAAATTCGACGACATTGTGCTGCTGACAGAAGGTGCACTTGTGTATGCTGGTCCTGCACGTGATGAACCATTGGCATACTTCTCAGAATTTGGGTTGTTATCTACCTCATTGATTATCTTTGTTGAGTAGTGCTATCTCTGGCCATTTCACATGATTGTTTTGTGGATTCCCAAAAATCATCATTACCTTTCATTGTTTGAATTTATTAGCATTGATTAAACATTAAACAATTGAAGTGAACTCTAAGCCATTGGCAAGAACTAAAGCATAATGGTGGCTTGGAGGGGTTGTCAGAAAGTTTAATCCTTCTTCGTTTTGGGTTGCTTTGAGATAGATTTGGGTTTAAATTCATTTTCTTATTTCCTACTCCATCTATGTTTTTTCTTTCCCTTTATTATTATCTTCGACATCTTGGATAAATAGAAGGTACTAATTATAGAATAGCTACACAAACTATAAGCGCTTTATTTACAAGGAGAACCATTGTTTTAAAATATACTGCCATGTGTTTATATCCGATATTGACCGTCTTTGTTGATTGGCTAATTAGTCTAAACCCTGCACCTTCACATGCTCCACTACTGATTTATTAGTTTAGTTAAGAGCACAAGTGTTTTCCATTCTGGGATACATATCCAGAAATTTCACACGAATAATACTACTCTTAAAATTGTGTAAAATCTTTGTTTCAAATGTCTCACTAACATTACATCATTTTGCTTTTCCGCAGAACTCATATCTATACACCAAATAATAATTGGATGGGAATCTCATACATTGCCTATGAAGTTTGTCATGGTGCAATCTTGTCAAAATATCTGAGCCTAATGCTAGAATTTGATTGAATTTATTAATCTTTTTACGGATGTGGTCAGAGTCTTCCAGAACATAGTTACCACCCAGAATGCTAGTTAATACAGAATCACAGATATTAGGCTGCCACTAATGAATTACATTTTTAAATATATGTCTTGGTATTGGTACCCCCAATACAATAGGTCTATCAACCCAAATACTAAATTGTGCACATCACACTTACTCGATCTCCAAAGGTTTTATATCTTCCCAAGTTGTGCACTTCACACCTCACACCTCACACCTCACACCTCGCACACCTCACACCTCGCAAATTGTGCACTTCACACCTCGCACATCTCATGCAGAAAATTTACACATATTGGCTCTGGTTAGAAGTCCTCTTTTGAAATTCTTAACCTTCATTTCCTCCCATGTAACAGGAGAGAAGATTTTTCTGGCATGATCACGTTAGTGACAAATTCACCACTATGTACCAATGTTACCTTGCATATTGCCTAAGAACTGAACTAGGGTTAATAAAATGATTGAAACTGAACAGAATGTGGATGGTACTGGCAGAATATATAATACTTCTCCAAGCTTTAAAACTAAAAAATTTTAAGTTTCGAGTCCTTTTAATGAAGGGGAATAAGTAAATATGAATACTCTCAATTGCCAAATTTTATGAGAAATTGTCTCCTTTGTAGCATGGACTCCAAGTAGATATGGACATTTCCAGCCCTATCCTTCAACAAATTTTGCATGACCATTTGCCAGATTTTTAAGAAATGTTTCTTAGTCTCTATACATGAGAACTTTACGAATGTAAAAATATGTTTGGAAGTTTGAACTTTGAAGTGCGAATGCACTAGCATAAAGCACGCAACTTCCCTTGTTCTGTACGCATGAATTCTTTGGCTTAGGAGTACTTTTCTTTATTCTTCTTTTAGTAATTTCATTTCCATTTTATCTCTGGTTTGTAGTTTATAGCATTTTGAATCCTCCATGTTTAGTTGTTTTTTCTTTCTATATTGTTGAGTTCTGTCATGTGTTTGCTCCTTTTAGAAGTGCTCTATGGCTGCTCCAATTTGTGGCGGGGTTTCTTTTTGTAGTGGTTGGTGTGGCTTTAACTTTTCTAATTCTGAAAGGACTGACTGATTGATGGTTAATTTACAGGTATAGTTGCCCGGATCATGTGAATCCTGCTGAATTTTTGGCTGATCTAATATCTGTTGACTATAGTTCTGCTGAAAGTGTCTATTCTTCCCAGAAACGGATAGATAGTCTTGTTGAATCATTTTCACAACAAACATCATCAATTCTCTATGCAACTCCCCTTATCATAAAGGAAAACTTCAAGGACAATGTGAAACAAAGGAAGAAAACAATGGTCAAAAGAAAAGGTGGTTGGTGGAGGCAGTTCTGGCTTCTCCTTAAGCGTGCATGGATGCAGGTAATTTAGTCTGCTATCACTATTTATTCATCATTGTTGTTGCCTATTGTACTCGATTTGTTTTAACGTGATCTAGGCATCAAACTCGTCCCAATGGGAAAAATAGATCCTACTTTGTTAAGAGCACATATTGCCTTTTGAATACTTCCTGCCATGTTTTTTAACTGTTTTCCCTGCTGTTTGGAGAGTCATTAAACTACATTAGCCACAATCTTCTTTTCATTTTTCTTATGACTGAAGTTACTAGTTAACTGCAGAAAAACAGTAAGAAAGATTCATATGGGTGCTGTGCTAGGTTCGAGTAAATGTATAGGTGGTTCTGTAAATGCTGCAGACAAAATCTGGTTGTCAGTACTCTTCGTCATTTTTTGCTTAGAAATTGTCATTTGACTTGATCATGATATTACTTTCTTGCCCCTTCTGATTGATTCCTGCAAATTAATGAACAGGCTTCTCGTGATTGGCCAACCAACAAAGTTCGAGCAAATATGTCAATTGCATCAGCTATAATATTTGGGTCTGTATTCTGGAGAATCGGAAAATCTCAGACATCAATACAGGATAGAATGGGTTTGCTTCAGGTATAAATGGCATTAGCTTGTTCAAAATTCTTCCCTGTCTATAAAATGAAATGCTCTACAAACATTGTTTCCATTTGTGTTCTTCTGTTCAATGTTTTAGACTTCGATTTACATTTTGGTTTTGTAGTTGGTCAAGGATTCTTTCCTTAAATTCATTGTCATCTCTAACTATCCACTTTAGGTTGGTTGTGTTGATAAGATGTTGCCACACCTTATGGATAGTTCACGATTGCTCTAAAAGTATATGAATAGACTGGAAGCAGAGAGGAGCTACGNTCCACTTTAGGTTGGTTGTGTTGATAAGATGTTGCCACACCTTATGGATAGTTCACAATTGCTCTAAAAGTATATGGATAGACTGGAAGCAGAGAGGAGCTATGNGGTTGGTGGAGGCAGTTCTGGCTTCTCCTTAAGCGTGCATGGATGCAGGTAATTTACTCTGCTATCACTATTTATTCATCATTGTTGTTGCCTATTGTACTCGATTTGTTTTAACGTGATCTAGGCATCAAACTCGTCCCAATGGGAAAAATAGATCCTACTTTGTTAAGAGCACATATTGCCTTTTGAATACTTCCTGCCATGTTTTTTAACTGTTTTCCCTGCTGTTTGGAGAGTCATTAAACTACATTAGCCACAATCTTCTTTTCATTTTTCTTATGACTGAAGTTACTAGTTAACTGCAGAAAAACAGTAAGAAAGATTCATATGGGTGCTGTGCTAGGTTCGAGTAAATGTATAGGTGGTTCTGTAAATGCTGCAGACAAAATCTGGTTGTCAGTACTCTTCGTCATTTTTTGCTTAGAAATTGTCATTTGACTTGATCATGATATTACTTTCTTGCCCCTTCTGATTGATTCCTGCAAATTAATGAACAGGCTTCTCGTGATTGGCCAACCAACAAAGTTCGAGCAAATATGTCAATTGCATCAGCTATAATATTTGGGTCTGTATTCTGGAGAATCGGAAAATCTCAGACATCAATACAGGATAGAATGGGTTTGCTTCAGGTATAAATGGCATTAGCTTGTTCAAAATTCTTCCCTGTCTATAAAATGAAATGCTCTACAAACATTGTTTCCATTTGTGTTCTTCTGTTCAATGTTTTAGACTTCGATTTACATTTTGGTTTTGTAGTTGGTCAAGGATTCTTTCCTTAAATTCATTGTCATCTCTAACTATCCACTTTAGGTTGGTTGTGTTGATAAGATGTTGCCACACCTTATGGATAGTTCACAATTGCTCTAAAAGTATATGGATAGACTGGAAGCAGAGAGGAGCTATGACTGGAGCAGCATACCACTGCCTGACTTTTCTTTTTCTCTTCTAAGGAGAAAATCCCAAGATAAAAGGATGACATTCTAAATGTTAAAGGATTGTACTAATTTTGATTTTCCATTGGTGCTAAAACTCAGTATCTTTTTTTTTTTTTTTTGGGAGGGGGGGTAAGGGATGAGGGAAGGGGACTTGAATCCTTGAACTCAAGAAAGCAAAACCTTTACAAGACAAGGAATATCATTGGACCAAAGGCCCATTGGTGCTAAAACTCAGTATCTGCACATCCTCTTGTGTCTTTTTCAGAGATATACCACCAGATTGTGTTATGAAAGCTTCATGTTGCACAATGTGCCATGTTTTAAATGCTTGCATGAATAATGTCACAGAGAAGACCTATATATAAATCACTCAAGTCCCTGTTTGTTAAAGGTGGCACCAGTATTCTACCTGTCAATCTTTTTATTTTTTTTTTCTTTTTTATCTTATATATGTGTACTACAGTTATGGGTTGGAACTACCTCCTTATACTTACCATCTTATGGTTGGCATCGGCTACTTCTCTGTGTGCTAAGCGAGTAGATCATTGAAATTCAGATCCAGTCAGTCAACATGATCTGCTTGAGTTTTTGTGTGCCTTCAAACCCGGGGGGGGAGGGCGAGGGGAGGGGGAACATTACGAGTGCACTGGCTGCCAATTGTCCACTATCATGGTTTTTTCGAAATGTTTTTTTAGATTTGTGCATCCAGTTTGCACACGTGAATGTTCCAGACTACTCTTTTTAGTTTATCTGTAGGAATAAAAAATCTACAGCTGAATTCTCATGTTTTATGCTTGATTTAAGAAGCACTGAAATATGTTCATTCACTTCGAGGAGTCAATCTGATTTTTTAATCTTCTGCTGCTAATTACTTGGTTGTCGCACCTAGCCAAAATTGAAATGATTCGTCTTTCCAAAATTAAGAAGCTATGGTTTTATAAACCAATTTCTCCAGACCTGTGATTTTTCAGAATATCCATCTAAATGCAAATACTTAATAATTGGGGGGTGTTTGAACCTTTGTCTGACTATGGTTTTCTTTTCCTGCCTCAGGTTGCTGCTATAAATACGGCAATGGCGGCACTCACCAAGACTGTAGGTGTTTTTCCCAAGGAACGTGCTATTGTAGATAGGGAACGTGCCAAAGGGTCTTATGTCTTAGGACCATACTTGCTTTCTAAGCTGATAGCTGAGATTCCTGTTGGAGCAGCATTTCCATTGCTGTTTGGTACCATTCTGTACCCCATGGCTCGTCTTCATCCTACTTTGTCTAGGTGATTTTCTTATTAACTTTAGTAGTATACCTGTTTGATTTTTGGATATCAGTTGCGGCTGTGAAATGCTACTTTATATGACATCATTTCGTATACTTTGAATTAGTGGAGCTATTGGGAAGAGCAGACAAGAATGTTGTAAACAAATTCTGATTATGTGATATACAAATTAGAGGATAAGATGTATGCCATCATTGCATGAAGCTCTCGCCACTTCGGTATTTGGAGAGGATAAGATGTATGCAACCTGAAGTCCGCATGTAGGGAGGTTAGAACCCACGAATGACATTGAAGTTACTATGGAGCAACCTTTTTGTTGTGCCCACTGCAGTGGCAATGATGTCATCATGCAGCGTTCTGGTGGAAAAATTGGGATCCTGTAGAAACTTGTCCGGTGTTAAAAATAATGTCAGTAACTTGCAGAATTTTGGTCATGTAAATAACGAGAGGAAAGGTGAAATTAGCCATTATGTGTTTGATGATATAGCCTATATATTAAATTATTAGAAAACAATTTTACTTGTTTTGTTATTGCTTATCCATGCAAAATGAAAGACAAATTTGCTTGTGGTTTCAGAGGTTGGGATGAAGTGAATTTTTTTTCCCCAAGTTTGCCTCACAGAATGGCTACAAATTTGTTACGGCAATGAAGATTGGTTGGGTGGGCTTGTCTGAGAAACANTTGTTTTGTTATTGCTTATCCATGCAAAATGAAAGACAAATTTGCTTGTGGTTTCAGAGGTTGGGATGAAGTGAATTTTTTTTCCCCTAGTTTACCTCACAGAATGGCTACAAATTTGTTACGGCAATGAAGATTGGTTGGGTGGGCTTGTCTGAGAAACATGCAACAAAGTACAAAAACAAAAACAGAAGCAAAATATGAAAAAAAAAAAAAAGGGGGAATTCTTTTATAAGCAAGGAAAACAACAAAATGGGATCAAAAGTAATGACCTCTATCGCTCATTCCTTGTACAAACACATACACAGCATGGTGATTCAGTTCTCATAGCTATAACATGTATGCATCTGTTACATCATTTGCTTAATAGCTGCAATTAGTTAGGGAATGAATGGGTGGTTTCAGGTTTGAGTTTGTTCTATGCCAAAAAAAAAAAAGAACAAAACCCCTACTGGTTCAGTGAAGACCGGCCATTTGGTGCGCAGAGCTTTGAAAATCCTACCAGTGGTTAAAGAGGCCTATTCCCCTACCGGAGCAGAGGGAGAGGTAGACTGGATACAAACTTCCAGGAGTATATGTGCAAATTGGTCTTCCCATAGACTCAAATCTGCTTTCACAATTCTCCTTTCAAGAAATGGCCACGGGTTATGGGGGTTAGAGAGTGAATAAGAATATACTGATAAGAATCCTCAAGGCACTGACTGAAAAATTTCTTTCTATTCTTTCTAGGTTCGGGAAGTTCTGTGGAGTTGTGACTGTGGAATCCTTTGCAGCATCTGCTATGGGCCTGACTGTTGGGGCAATGGTTCCAACCACTGAAGCAGCGATGGCCGTAGGGCCATCTCTTATGACAGTTTTTATTGTATTTGGGGGCTATTATGTGAATTCAGAGAACACACCAATTATCTTTCGCTGGATTCCTCGTGTTTCTCTTATCAGATGGTAAATACATTTCTCCTTGCCCATGTAAGAAGCTTACTTGTCAATTTAACAACTTTGACTTGGTGATGCATTAAAGCGTTTATTCAATTTCCTCAACTTAGGTTACTTCTTAAATGTTCTGTTACTTTCAGGGCATTTCAAGGGCTTTGCATCAATGAATTTAGTGGCCTCCAATTTGATCATCAGCATTCATTTGATATACAAACTGGAGAACAGGTGAGGGGGTTGCATGAACCCAAATATACTTTGTACCTTAGGCCTGTTAGGGTAAAACAAACAACCTCCCTTTCTTGCTTTATTTCCTTGGCACAGGCTTTGTGACCATATTCTTACATGTTTCACCTTTATCTGAGGATATTCAATCCCCATTTCCCTATCCTTTCCCCTACTCTCTGTATGGAATGATTTCGGAGAGGGCATGTGATGGAGACTGGGCACACAAGCGGGGTTGCCACATAATGGAAATTCTTTTCTTGGGCTTTTAGCCTGAAGTTTGACAGGCCAGCTTCTAAATTGGCCTATAATTTTAAGTCCTACTATTGCTCATCACAATGCCAAACCAAGTAGCGTTTTTTAACCCTTATAGCTAGGGCGGATAATCGAGCCTACTTTTGTTAGCTCGAGTCAAGTTTAATTTTTAGAGAATTTCCTTTTGTAGACATAATTGCTACATGAATGGTCTCAAGTGGAATTTTTTTTTTCTTCTAAACCAGTGTCTCAATTTGGCTGTTTTTGTTCTATTTATAACTTTAAACACTGTAATTCTAAAAATAAATCAAAATCATTAATATCAGAAGAAATGATTAATTTAAATAGTGTCTAGAAAATCTTGCAAAAGTCCTTACTCGGTGTGAGTAGACAAACCTTGTTTTGAATTGGAAAAAATGTCATTTCATGGTTACACAAGACATTGTTTTAGGTCATGTTATTTTGCTGAAAGAATTGAAGTTGATAAGTCAAAGATTGATTTGATAGCTAATCTGCCTCCACCAAAGACTGTAAAAGATATTCAGTCCTTCTTAAGTCATGCAGAATTCAATAGAAGATTCATTAATGATTTTAGTTTGATATCTAGACCAATGTGTAATCTTCTATGTCAGGATTTACCATTTGATTGTCAGCACTAGCCATGTACAGGTCATTTTCTCCTTTGAATCATACTTGTGTTGCCCAAAGAACTTTTCAAAACAGCAAAACCATGACTTGAGCACTCAATGTTGGCTACAATTACTTTCAGACAACCTTCTACCAGTCAATTAGTTACCTTTAAATGAGTATGCTCACATGAAAATTTCCAGTATGGCTGATAGGAGTACATAAGTGAGTTGTGACTTCTCTGGGTGCTTTCATATGAATGCTTGATATATGACATTTGCTTATTTTTTATTCTTTTTTCATTTTGCAGGCACTTGAGCGGCTCTCTTTTGGTGGCAGTCGCATTAGAGATACAGTAATGTCTCAAAGTAGAATATTATTGTTCTGGTATTGCACTACCTACCTTCTCCTCCAGAAAAACAAGCCCAAGTACCAGAGGCTTGAGCTGCCACCTCTTGATCAAATCCAGAAACTGAAAACACTTGAGCCACTTGGAAGTGATCCAGTGGAAACATGCCAGCAACTTGAACCTCCTCTTATAGACCAAGGTAAACCCAAGCAGCAGCTTGAATCTCCTACCCCTGAGCAACTTAATCTGTTTAACCTAGACGGTTTGTAAATACATCAGAATTAATGACTATGAGCCGTGCCACTTTTTATTGATTTATCTCATACAGGTGCAATCTAAAGGGGATGCTTTTGCAATAAAGGGAAGGCCTCATGTTTTTTTTTTCTGAGCTAATGAGCTGATTTAGTTAAAAAATGATGGCAGTTACAATGATGACTATTGTATTCCCAAAACTAATCTGCTCAGAAATCCATGGGGATGGCATATCAGAACACAAAAGAATGTTAGAAAGTTCAGTTAATAAGATACTGGTATCACAACAGCTTTGTTTCTCATATTTTGTAATTCNAGAACAGGTGAGGGGGTTGCATGAACCCAAATATACTTTGTACCTTAGGCCTGTTATGGTAAAACAAACAACCTCCCTTTCTTGCTTTATTTCCTTGGCACAGGCTTTGTGACCATATTCTTACATGTTTCACCTTTATCTGAGGATATTCAATCCCCATTTCCCTATCCTTTCCCCTACTCTCTGTATGGAATGATTTCGGAGAGGGCATGTGATGGAGACTGGGCACNCCCCTAAAAGGTTCCTTTCAGCATGATTTGAAGATTATATTGGCTGGTCAGAAGAATATACCAAACATTCTCTTTTACAGAGGACTGGAATATGTTAAATTTGACAGCCAGTGGACTACATTTCTAGCTTGGTCTGATCACAGACTCATGAAACAGTTAAAGAGAAATTTCATTTGCTAATATGTCACATTTCACAGAAGAGGTATTGTTCCACAACATTAAAAATCTACGCTATTTTTTTGTTGTCGTGGTATTCAATCCCATGATACTCAAGGGGCAAGGCGACGTACCCCAGAGGATTGACTAATACATAGTAAAGTGGGTACATGAACCGTCACTATGCCATACTTGGGCACTAGAGGCTTTAAATGCAATATAAATGACATTTCTGTTTGTTGGAAGCTTAATGCAATTGGAAATTAGTGCTCTCTGTTGAGCTGTAGCTTTTTGTTTGGTATCTCTTGCCTGGAGTTGGGGCCAACTCAGCTTATTTGTCTGATAATCCTTTCAGACCAAGAGAGGACTGGTCTCGTAAAACATTGCATTGTCTGATTGAGGAGAAAATATTCAATACAATGGTGATACTATGTCACCATTGATAACATGGTATCACCAATCAATAATAAAACACTAAATGGGCAAAGTGAATTACTTATAGTATAGTTATTGATTTACATGAAAGAAGAGTGGGTAGTTATTTGTTTATATGCACGAGTAGTTATTGGTTTGTGTGGGGCTCATTTTTTTATTTAATTGAATATTATTGGTCGGTGATATCATGTGATAATGTTGACGTGGAATCACCGTTGCGATGAATATTTTTTCTTGATTGAGGTCTGGAGGCTATTTTTTAGGGTTTTATCCTGTGTTTTGAGTAGAAGAAGTCCCTTCTTATCTATGTTCTCTTTTCAACGTGGATGTTGGTTAAAGAAACAAAACAGCACAAGACAGCTTAAATTGTATTTTACTTAGTGGGTTTAAATCTCCATGGTGGCTTCATTTTTTTAACTAGGATTTGGTTAGTGGGACCCAATGAACAAAATGGTGAGCTCTTTATGTGATTAAGATAATNAATCTCCATGGTGGCTTCATTTTTTTAACTAGGATTTGGTTAGTGGGACCCAATGAACAAAATGGTGAGCTCTTTATGTGATTAAGATAATCCCAAATCTTAATTACGCTTTAATTTAATTTCACTTAATGGTAAATTGTTCATTGTGTATGGGTAAGAAATTTATTAGATTATTTTTTTAATTAGTGGTTAAATATTTGATTAGTATGTGAAATATTTTTACAAAGAATTGATTTGTGGGACCTCTTGAAGTTAGATGAGGAGAAATTTTCTCATGCGGGTGAACCCAATGAATTAATTAATCAACGAGTGGGACCCATGAATGAAACAATTGATTTTGTAAGACAAAGCCGGATTAATAAGTCACCGCCAAAAATTGCCGCCATTGTTTGGAAGACGAAGCCAACCCAAATCCCTCATTCTCAGCAAATGACATACATCCACTCGTCACCTTCCTAGTTCCTCACCCCATAACTTCCTCCCAATAGAGTTGACAAAACAATTGTGGCATGTGCCACTTTGTCCAAATTCATGTATCTGGAACAAACCCACATAATAATAATAATAATAATATACAGGGTAATCTTGCTTACGNCACAAGCGGGGTTGCCACATAATGGAAATTCTTTTCTTGGGCTTTTAGCCTGAAGTTTGACAGGCCAGCTTCTAAATTGGCCTATAATTTTAAGTCCTACTATTGCTCATCACAATGCCAAACCAAGTAGCGTTTTTTAACCCTTATAGCTAGGGCGGATAATCGAGCCTACTTTTGTTAGCTCGAGTCAAGTTTAATTTTTAGAGAATTTCCTTTTGTAGACATAATTGCTACATGAATGGTCTCAAGTGGAATTTTTTTTTTCTTCTAAACCAGTGTCTCAATTTGGCTGTTTTTGTTCTATTTATAACTTTAAACACTGTAATTCTAAAAATAAATCAAAATCATTAATATCAGAAGAAATGATTAATTTAAATAGTGTCTAGAAAATCTTGCAAAAGTCCTTACTCGGTGTGAGTAGACAAACCTTGTTTTGAATTGGAAAAAATGTCATTTCATGGTTACACAAGACATTGTTTTAGGTCATGTTATTTTGCTGAAAGAATTGAAGTTGATAAGTCAAAGATTGATTTGATAGCTAATCTGCCTCCACCAAAGACTGTAAAAGATATTCAGTCCTTCTTAAGTCATGCAGAATTCAATAGAAGATTCATTAATGATTTTAGTTTGATATCTAGACCAATGTGTAATCTTCTATGTCGGGATTTACCATTTGATTGTCAGCACTAGCCATGTACAGGTCATTTTNAGATTCATTAATGATTTTAGTTTGATATCTAGACCAATGTGTAATCTTCTATGTCGGGATTTACCATTTGATTGTCAGCACTAGCCATGTACAGGTCATTTTCTCCTTTGAATCATATTTGTGTTGCCCAAAGAACTTTTCAAAACCGCAAAACCATGACTTGAGCACTCAATGTTGGCTACAATTACTTTCAGACAACCTTCTACCAGTCAATTAGTTACCTTTAAATGAGTATGCTCACATGAAAATTTCCAGTATGGCTGATAGGAGTACATAAGTGAGTTGTGACTTCTCTGGGTGCTTTCATATGAATGCTTGATATATGACATTTGCTTATTTTTTATTCTTTTTTCATTTTGCAGGCACTTGAGCGGCTCTCTTTTGGTGGCAGTCGCATTAGAGATACAGTAATGTCTCAAAGTAGAATATTATTGTTCTGGTATTGCACTACCTACCTTCTCCTCCAGAAAAACAAGCCCAAGTACCAGAGGCTTGAGCTGCCACCTCTTGATCAAATCCAGAAACTGAAAACACTTGAGCCACTTGGAAGTGATCCAGTGGAAACATGCCAGCAACTTGAACCTCCTCTTATAGACCAAGGTAAACCCAAGCAGCAGCTTGAATCTCCTACCCCTGAGCAACTTAATCTGTTTAACCTAGACGGTTTGTAAATACATCAGAATTAATGACTATGAGCCGTGCCACTTTTTATTGATTTATCTCATACAGGTGCAATCTAAAGGGGATGCTTTTGCAATAAAGGGAAGGCCTCATGTATTTTTTTTCTGAGCTAATGAGCTGATTTAGTTAAAAAATGATGGCAGTTACAATGATGACTATTGTATTCCCAAAACTAATCTGCTCAGAAATCCATGGGGATGGCATATCAGAACACAAAAGAATGTTAGAAAGTTCAGTTAATAAGATACTGGTATCACAACAGCTTTGTTTCTCATATTTTGTAATTCTGCATTTTTAGTTTTCCGATAAGCTGCTTTATATGGAATTGTTTTCAGTTTTACACGCCAGTGTAGGGGGTACTATTTTCTTCCCATCACTTATCAGACTTCATCCCCTAAAAGGTTCCTTTCAGCATGATTTGAAGATTATATTGGCTGGTCAGAAGAATATACCAAACATTCTCTTTTACAGAGGACTGGAATATGTTAAATTTGACAGCCAGTGGACTACTTTTCTAGCTTGGTCTGATCACAGACTCATGAAACAGTTAAGAGAAATTTCATTTGCTAATATGTCACATTTCACAGAAGAGGTATTGTTCCACAACATTAAAAATCTACGCTATTTTTTTGTTGTCGTGGTATTCAATCCCATGATACTCAAGGGGCAAGGCGACGTACCCCAGAGGATTGACTAATACATAGTAAAGTGGGTACATGAACCGTCACTATGCCATACTTGGGCACTAGAGGCTTTAAATGCAATATAAATGACATTTCTGTTTGTTGGAAGCTTAATGCAATTGGAAATTAGTGCTCTCTGTTGAGCTGTAGCTTTTTGTTTGGTATCTCTTGCCTGGAGTTGGGGCCAACTCAACTTATTTGTCTGATAATCCTTTCAGACCAAGAGAGGACTGGTCTCGTAAAACATTGCTTTGTCTGATTGAGGAGAAAATATTCAATACAATGGTGATACTATGTCACCATTGATAACATGGTATCACCAATCAATAATAAAACACTAAATGGGCAAAGTGAATTACTTATAGTATAGTTATTGATTTACATGAAAGAAGAGTGGGTAGTTATTTGTTTATATGCACGAGTAGTTATTGGTTTGTGTGGGGCTCATTTTTTTATTTAATTGAATATTATTGGTCGGTGATATCATGTGATAATGTTGACGTGGAATCACCGTTGCAATGAATATTTTTTCTTGATTGAGGTCTGGAGGCTATTTTTTAGGGTTTTATCCTGTGTTTTGAGTAGAAGAAGTCCCTTCTTATCTATGTTCTCTTTTCAACGTGGATGTTGGTTAAAGAAACAAAACAGCACAAGACAGCTTAAATTGTATTTTACTTAGTGGGTTTAAATCTCCATGGTGGCTTCATTTTTTTAACTAGGATTTGGTTAGTGGGACCCAATGAACAAAATGGTGAGCTCTTTATGTGATTAAGATAATCCCAAATCTTAATTACGCTTTAATTTAATTTCACTTAATGGTAAATTGTTCATTGTGTATGGGTAAGAAATTTATTAGATTATTTTTTTAATTAGTGGTTAAATATTTGATTAGTATGTGAAATATTTTTACAAAGAATTGATTTGTGGGACCTCTTGAAGTTAGATGAGGAGAAATTTTCTCATGCGGGTGAACCCAATGAATTAATTAATCAACGAGTGGGACCCATGAATGAAACAATTGATTTTGTAAGACAAAGCCGGATTAATAAGTCACCGCCAAAAATTGCCGCCATTGTTTGGAAGACGAAGCCAACCCAAATCCCTCATTCTCAGCAAATGACATACATCCACTCGTCACCTTCCTAGTTCCTCACCCCATAACTTCCTCCCAATAGAGTTGACAAAACAATTGTGGCATGTGCCACTTTGTCCAAATTCATGTATCTGGAACAAACCCACATAATAATAATAATAATAATATACAGGGTAATCTTGCTTACACAAAGTACAATAACGGTTTAAATTTGACGATGTATATTTTATTTTTTTGACCACAGTAACTCAATTTATATATTAAAAAAAAGTGTTTTGCACAGGAAGACGCTAGTGTACATATATAACAGTGATCAATTAAGCAAGAGATGGAAAGGTATTGGTATAATCCTAGAATTTGGTATAAGTTGCATCTAATATCTCAATTGAGGGGTGAAAAAATACAAAAGAATTTGAGAGGGTCGTAAATTTTGTACATCACGCGGGTTCGTTGCTAGTGTGTTTGTTTGTGAAATGAGACAAAGAAGGATACTCTTGTCCACCACAAAATGAAAATTGACCTCTGATGAACTGTATGCTGATTTGGTGATCTCCAAGTTCCAATACTATTTTTCTACGTGTAGATATGTATTTCATTTACGTAATGAACATAGCATCAAATTCGATTGAGAAATAAGACTTAGCTCAAGTTTGCCCATTTTTGTTAGTACCAGGATTTCTTTGAATTTGAAGGTTTCTAATGTTATTTTATAATACCTCGAGAGTTAACGAAACTATTTGAATAATAGAGGATTTGGTCTCATTTTTATATTATATGCTCTATATAAGCACATGTCAATGACCACTTCCCTCCTCATAACCTTCACCCTACAAGCATTCAATCAACCCTTTTGAAATCCTCGCATCCAAAGAAATGCAAACCTCTTCCCTTCATTCCCCACCACTTCCTCCACCTCCATTTTCCATCAATCATCCCCACAGAAAACTGGGTTTTGTCCCAAGAAAAAGACCCTTCAACTCTATAACTGCACTGAAAAGAGACGCAAATGGTAAAGATCATCATCATAGTGGCAAGCTTGTTGATGAGAGCATGATCATTCTCAGACAGAGAATTCATGAAATGAAGATGGTGGAGAAGAACAGTGAGCCACCGGATCATTGGATGGAGTGGGAGAGACGGTATTTCCGGAGATATGATTCTGATGTGGTTGAAGCAGTAGGGTTTTTGCAGTCGTCGTTGATGGAGATTAGGCCTGGCTTGGCTTTGGGAATGGTGATTCTGGTTTTCTTTAGTGTGCTGAGTTCCATGGCTGTTGTTGGGTTTTGTTTTATGGACATTGTTAAGTGGATTTTTGATGGGATTCAGCTTAGTAGCTGATTTTACAACAATATTTATGGCTATTCGACTGATAGCAGGAATTAGTGCGTGCAGAAAAATGGACTTTTCTTTCTAACTTGCATCCGTCTCGAGTTGCTGCCTTGAGCGATCTATCCCTAGCTTTGTGACGTCCAGTTTCTTCTATTCTTTTAGCTTTCTATGCGTTTTTAATATATTTTTTTATGTAATCTAGGAGCTGGTTATTGGAAGATTATTAGTAAGTAGTTAGTGATAGAGTATTTTGTTAGTAGTTTTTTAGGTGGTTACTAAGATAGTGGAATTACAGGTTATGTTAGTTATTAAGATAGTTTTTATCATCTTGTGTTTAAAGATTTATCTATCAATGAAATTCGTATATTGAACATTGTATTGAATTTTCTTGTAAAGTTTTGAAGAAAGGTTCTTTTCGAATTGAACCATCGAAAATTCTCTCCCCTTGAAGCGAGTTCTTTATCTCATATTCTATTTTATTTTTATTTTCTAGATCTTCGAAAACGTGCACATAACACACTCCTATCAAGATTCGCCTCGTTCATGATAGCTTGTAAATAGATGGCTCAAAAGCCTCATTTTCATTATAGATCCTTTTGTTTTTCATTGTCAACTCTCTCTCTCTCTCTC